GAGCGTTTGCGTGTGCGTCTATGTGTGTGTGTGGTGTGAATGTTGTCTGCATCTATGTGTGTGTGTGTGTGTGAATGTGTGAACTTTCTGAACAAGCGCATGTGCGTAGGACTTTCTTTTTCTCTGATGCTCGGATTAAGTTATTTTCTGTAATATATCGTGACTGAAGAATAAATCACAAGATGTGGGATGCAACCTGTGTGAGCCATGATTTATTATTTTGCTACTACCACGAGTCAGGTAAGCTAACCTGTATTTTTTTTTTAACTCTATGCGTTACATGACATCTTTCACGTGTATCCAGATTATGCAGGTGTAAGTAATATAAATCATCCACTTATCTTTTGCAATAGAGATCTGCGTGGGACTAAATTTTGAATACTGCTCCCGCCTGGTTTTAGCCCGAACCCGACCGCTCCCCCTTACATTCAGCATTTGTTGTTCTGCTGCCCGACCCACCCCGTTTTCTACCCGCCGCGCCCGATCCTGCTAAAGAGCGGGGGGAGAACAAAACCGAAAACCACCCTGCTATACAGAGTCCAGACAGCCTATAACAAGCTGTCTGTATAAACACACACACTCATAAGCACCAAGCACACACACACAGACAAAGCTCTCTCTCTCATTCGCGCGTGCGCACACACACACAGCAACAAACAAGCTAAACACAGCATCTCGCTATTTTATTTACACACATACATACGCGTGCTCGCTCACGAGTTGGGAGCGATATTACTAGACGGCCCGCTCCCGTCCCAAATCAAACCCGTTACCGACCGCTCCCGCGCTTTATTCGGAAATTTATTCCCGCGCCGCAGAAATCTGGTCGGGTCCAGCGGGACAGCCTCGGGAATGCAGACCTCTATTTTGCAACTTTATTATCCAAGATGAGAAACGCATGGAAAAGCTGCCTTAAGACAATTAATGCAAAGTCGCGCACACACATAAGAGACACGAACGTGTTGGTGGAGTGTGTGTGTTTACAGCAGTTTGACTGATAAATATAAATTTGTAGCTAAATCATTTGTCCGCAAAGCAGCATTTTGCATTGTTTACATCGTTGCTACAGCATACTGTTAACGCTAGACACTGTCCATGTCATGGTCGATTTTAACAAATAAAAACACTTACTGGTTGTAACTCACAGCTTCTGCTTTGTGGAGATTTTAGTCGAATCCAGCACTGAACTAGGAGAGATTCTGGAGCTGTTTTGTCAAATCATGCTTGCTGTGTATTTTATAATTCTTTGGAACATAATTAATATTGAACTGTAAGCACTTCCGTCTTTGTGTTGTGTCCTTTGGAAGCCCAAATACAGAAACAGACGAAGCTCTGTGAAAACAGTACTTTTCTTACCTGTGTAACCTCTCTTATAACCTGTATGCCTGTTCCCTTTAGGCCGTTTTAAAGCATAAATAATATGAGGATGTGAAAAATCATGTTGATGTACTTTTAAACCCCCCATGTTTGGTACCGATGGGTTTCTGCTGACATTTAACAACACATGATGCATAGAGCAAGATCATAACTCGCATTGCTTTATTCTTTAATTCCCTGCATGAAATGCCTCTCCGCGTGCTTTGGGCGGACACTCAAATTTGCATACGAGCAGCCTCGAGACAAAGGAAGGGTTCGCGCTCAAACTTTGTCCTGAAATCATTGGTCAGAATGCTGAATGGGTTGTCACGTGACCCGCAGGTATAACCAGACTTCTCCCCAAACATCTGGGCAGAGAGCAGTCCGAACAAAAAACCCATCAAAGGGTGGCCCCCTGGGCCACACGGCTCTTCCAAGCCGCATGGATTTTTCCCGCCACGCTTTTCTTTATTTTACGGCAAAGTAAACTCAGTTTAAAGTTTGCGATCGTGTTCGTCTGAACTGCATTACAAACTCCACGCATCAAGAAGGACATCAAAAGGAGTTTTCACCACGACGGAAGAGAGACTCGCATAAAAAGAGAGTTCTCCAGACATGAAAGACCAGGTATTTTTAGTTATGCAATTAAGCTGTGCCCCTTTTATCAAAAAAGGTGTTTTTTTGCGGCGGCTCTGCTTGCGTTTGTTTGGTCAAATTAACAATAAATTGATCCAGAATATTAATGATTAATAATAATTCGTTATTGTTGATAATTAATATTCATAATCAGAGAGTCTGCTCGGTCGAGCGGGCAGGATCATATACAATCATATGTTTGTTTGACCAAATTGACTGAAGCTTAAGCTGGAATATTAATAATTAAGAATAAACCGTTATTGTTGATTATTAATATCCATTAAATGAGCTAATTTCTGTTACATCAGTTTCTTCCTCCATTTCTCAAGTGTAAGTACGTGCGATTAAAGTTGTTGCCTCGTTTACCCTAGCTTGCAAATGTATTTAGTTGTGATTTGTTACTTGTAACTGCATGTTCTGTATCAGGTTAACTCGCTATATTCTCATATCGCGTGCAAAGCCACTTTAAAAACGCGATGCGTGCTGCTTTGTTTACGTTCCCGTGGAGGAGTGTAATGTGTGTGTGTGTGTGTGTGTGTGTGCGTGCACGCGCGTTGTCGTCCGGAGGAGGGTTGTGTGTGTGTGCGCGATGTCGTCTGGAGGAGGGTTATGTCTGTGTGTGTTTGTGGACGCGTGCGCGAGGACAAGGGCAATATGTGTGTGTGTGTGTGTGTCTGTGAAAAGAGCTATATGTGACAAGCTAGGAGATCTCCTCGCCAGTTCTTGGGAGTTTCTGCTCAATAAAATAGTTAGTCGTCTGTATTTTCAAGTCCATTGTCTGTATTTACATTCATCCACTGGCAGCTAAACTCCACACCTTACACTATCGAGCGTGTATGCACTGTGACTACTTCTATTTTGTTGATTAGCTGCTGGGCATTTCTCTCTGTCTCTGGCTGAAAGCAGTCAGTGTCAACCAATCGCAGCAGACTGTCATTGGTCCAATCAGAAATGTTGCTTGGACCTCATAATTATAGGCTATATAGCATATTCATACACTTTCTGACAAATCTTGAAATATATGTTAAATGTTCATATGACAGGGTTCATACAGGCACAGCCTAATGAAAATCAGGGAATTTTAAGCACTTTTTCCAGCAGCTATTTTTTTTTTTCAAGACTGACATGCTATGTATTGAAGACCTGAAATGTATTCTCAGCAACCTATAAAATATTGCATAGGAATTGATACAAATAAATAACATGAAAAATAATAATTATTATTATTAATCATATATTAATAATATAATAAACCTGCACTAAATGCTTGTGAAATATTTTTTGTACTCAAGTAAAAATACTATTACACTGCTAAAATAACACAAATTTTAGTAAATAATACTAATATTAGGTAAAAGTACAAAGTACACTTTTAAAAAGTACTAGTTGGTTACTTTTGAAAAAAAAATAATCAGATTTTCATTATGAAATCACTTTTTTTAAGTGTAAACCTGATTGAATGGTTTAATTGCTTAAATCTCAAAGCTACATGTATAGGAATTTGCACCAACAAAGGAAGTATGGTCGATTTTTCCTTTCATGAATTAATCTTTTTTTCAATAGCACTGGTAAAACTACCACATAAACTTTAAGGCCATAGAGACACTTTTTGCTCATTTTTTAAACAATATTTTCAAGATTTGAAAGGTTTAATTAAAGTATATGGTAAAAATATTTGAATTTAGCCTTTTATTTACATATTTTACACTATTTTTTTTACAATATGGCAAATTTGTTTCTTAAATAGCTGTACATCACATGTAGATTTTATTTTACACTTGACTTTAATCTAAAATACAAAAAAAAAAAAAATACAAGTACACTGTCAGTAAAAAAATAAAACAAATGACTTCATTTTACTTGAGGTATTTGAAATATGACAACACTACATTTATCAAAGCAGTGTTTTAAGAGCCTTATTGTTAATTTTGATAAATAAACAATAAGTAACAACGAATTGTTTTGAGCTGTAATGCTTTAAGACAGATCAGAATACAGCTAAATGTATAAATCACACAAATACCTCATCCAGAAACATTTCCAGCATAATTATTTTGTTGTAAAGAAATAAGTTCCACCTTTGCTAAAAGTAAGTTTCACTTCACAATACAGCCAAATAAGAAGACCATTTGCATTGTCATCGATCATGCATCAATCTAATTCTAAATACTTGATAACTATGAATACTTTTGACTAAATTTAGTCAAGGAATAAAGATAAATAATGTCTACTTTAATAGTGGAGAGATCGCGATTGTATTCAATCTGAGCACACAGGCGATCCTGAGAGGATTTGCAGTTCATTTGAAAAAAAAGCCTATTTAAGAGCTCGCATATCTGTTTTAGCGATTTGCGTACATGAATGCGCTCTCTCGTGTTAAAATAAAGCACTCGCCACATTTGCAGAAATTAGTAATTGCGCAATACCTTCATTCCCGCGCCGCCATTCAGAATGTATTTAGAGGAGCGGCAGGTCAGAGGCGAGTCGACTGGCTGTCGGAGAGCGAAACGTGTATGTAGATCATCAAAAAGGCAGGAAATATGTCCGCAGTTTAATTACTCTGCTAGACATCTCTATAGTGAAAACATCCGAGAAGCATTATTCCAACAAAACTTTTGTTTTTAAGTTGTTTTCTCTGTCTCTGCAACACAGAAAGCCTTTGTGCCGCCCTTACGTTTCACGCGACTAGAAAAGGTCGACTGTGATTGGCTACTTTTCATGTCAGTCAAATCACTTTTCAGAATCAATTCTTAAACTTCGGAAACTGATTTTCAACAGCTTATGACACAATGCTCTAAAATAAACATTCTAAGCACAGCGTTGTGATCGTACGCTTCACAAAACAGACAATGCTGATCACATGGATGTTATATTACGCATCAAAGGATTAAAAGTGTTAATTGTTTCTTTCATTATTTGGCGATTCCTCCGCGTACCACTAGGAGGAAGCCCGCGAGAACCACTGTCTTAGATGACCTAATTAAACTTTTTTTTATTGTTTAATGGTTTATGTGTATATGTATTTTTACTGTTAGTTCTCAAAGTAACTTTTTTCATAAGTCTATTTTCTATTTCTCTTTCTTACAGATTGATGCCGAATTTTTGCACAACACAACCTTACCTTTACAGTTAAGATTTATGGCCTCTTTGGACAGACAGAGCTCTCAGATTCTCCAGGTTATTAGGAGCAAAGGTGGAGTCCTCCGTGAAAAAGCGAAGGACACTATTTAAGTTATGGATCAGGTATTGGTTGCATACAAACAAAATTGCTTGTAGCAATTAATTAATAGTGTTTTGGTTTAATGAAAACAATACATCTTGAACATTTTTAGAGCCTGGACATAGACATCAGAAGACAGTGCCTGCTGAAGTGCCTGATCATGTACCTTTGTGAAGATGCAAGCTGTCTGATCGAAGAATACCAGGTAATGTTGACAATGCAAACTCCTAAAATTTTTTCCAACCATATTTGACTTGGTTATTTTTCACTTTCAAATCAATATTTTACCACTTTGCTCAAGCCTTAAGGGTGAGTAAAACATGGGGAATTCTGATTTGGTGAAGAAATTACTTTAAAGTGGTTCAAGTTATTGTGTTATCATTTACACATCAGCCTGTGTGACTTCTTTCACAGAACACAAAATAATATATTTTGAAGAATGTTGTTAAGAGCCCCTATTCACTTGCATTGGTTTTGTGTGAATACAATAATAGTGAACAGGGGCCGTTATCAACATTGTTCAAAATTCTGCAGAGGACAGTATTTCATTCAGATTTGAAATGTCAAAAGGGTGGTAAATGATGGCTAAATTTTGAATGTGAACTACTGCCTTAAAAGCATTTTTTTCCTTTTTAACTGCATTTTGAACAAATTTGAGTAGATTAATGAATGCCTCTGATTGGAAATTGTGGTACTGCACTCAACAAAGTTGTCTACAATGGTCATCACATTAGAAGTGTTAGTTTGTACAAATGTTAAAAGCATTTTTGAAGCTAAAGAGGGTGTAAAAGTACATCTTCACCCAAAAATTTAAATGTTGTCTTGTAAAAAAAATACACATTTATTTACACAAATGAGGATATTTTAATTAAAGCAAGCTACAGACATTTGGCCTCTACATTAACCACCATAATGGCTAACTACAAAATGGCTTACTCAATTTTGGAAGAATTTTCAGATGAAGGGTTTTTTCTTTATACAAAATGTTTTTTTTTTCCCCCAAACTCCCTTATTAACTCTTTTTTTTTCTTGTATGTTTTTAGGCTGACCAGAGGGAGGAAGCAATGGGTGAATTTGAAAAGACCACTATGACACTTTTTGTGACCCGTGAAAGTGATGAAAGTGAAAGTGAGTGCACTGGACATTTCGATTGTCATTGACTGTGTGGAAGTACTAAATGAGTTGCCTTCTGTTGCATGTCCCTGCGCCATGATGTTTGGACTCATTTATGCACTGAACTTAAAATATCCCGAAGGACTCAAATATATTTTTTTGAGACCTTTCAAAAAATAATCATGGACTTGGAGAGTAGACAGATGAGCCGAAGGGTGCCGAACCTGCAGGAGTAAGCAGATGTGCTGAAGAGTGCAGAACCTCTCTTTAAAGCTACTGGAGATAACTTGTATCCTTTGACTCAACTACAGTGTTCTGATTGCGATATATTTTAGATGTTGGACTTCTTCATTTCTTCATCCTCATTATAAAGCATTAAATAGTTTACCAAAACATGAAAGTTCATACATTGTTTACTCATCTTTAAGCTATTCTAAGTATTTAACTTTAATTAAATTAGGTTCAGAGAAATTTAATGACAATTATGAGAGAAGTTTAATTTTTCGGTAAACTATTTCATTAAGGTGAAGACTTCTCTTTCAACAGTTGGCTAATTTGTTACAGAGTTATTAAAAAGTATTTAATTTTACACTGCACATTTTAAGCCATTTTTTGGGCCAAACTTGTTTTAACCTCAGAAGAATTCTTAAGGTTTTGTGTAGTCAGTTTTGATTGACTGTTCATGAAAAGGTGTCCAATGATTACTGATTCCTATGGTGAACTTACATTGTATCCAGGGTCTTTGTATATGGATACTAAAAACTGTTGTACAGTATAATTTTATAAAAATGCTATGCACATTGTAGAAATGTTTTATGACATAAATTGTCATGTTTGTTATGTTTACATTGTTAGATAGTGTGTATTTGTACTGTACACATTGTAAAAAATGTGGTATTGACAAAATAAATTGTCAATAGTTTGATGCTTGGAGTCATTCATCTTAAACGATAAAATTACACATTTTAAAAGCAAATCAATTTCTTTATATTACATTAATATTTTAAATTGTATTTGATTGGATATTTGATTTGATGTAAAGTAAAATAATTAAGTTAATACAAAGTAAAACAATTAAGAGTAAATAAAGTAAATTTGAGATTTCAAAAAACTTAAAAACTTTATTTGGTTCAAAGAGATTTTTTGCTTTGGCTAAGTAATAGAGAATTAATTCTTTTAAAGTAAAAAAATTAAGTTGATTTAAAGTAAAGTAATTAGGTGCAACAAGTTGACGCAATTTTTTTACTTTGATCCAATGAAACACTTTTTACAGTGCAGCTTAATTTGTGTATCTTTAAATGAATAGGAATAAATAATGTAATTTTTTCCTGTTTAGAATTTAACTGAGCCTTTATTTGTCATTTATAAAGGATTTATAAAGCATAAATAGTCCTCACTTTAGATTAGGTCACAAAACTGGATGAAGTTGAGTTAATAAAGCATTTATTAACATACATAGTAACAATTAATGTATGCCTGAAAAATAAGACATATAAACGTTGATTTCAATAGTTTATTAATCCTTTACTAACTCATTCTGAATAATCCTAAAAACCTCGAAAAGGAGAACAGCAGATTTACCCTGTGTCGCATAGTTTTTTACGAGCCAGTCTGAAGCCTGAGTGGTTTCACTTTCTTCCTTGCGCTCGCCGCGCGTCTCTATCTGAAATAACTAACTTCTTGAGCTGATAATAATAACATGCGCTTGATTATTGACAAGCTTTGGAAACCTGATCCTGTGAGAAGCTGACAAACGCGAGAGTGACACATTCAGAAAGAAAAGGACAAACGCGGGAGTAGAGCACAGAAAAAAGGCGAAGCCAAGGAGCACGTTATTTCTTCAGGAAACGTGAACAAACTGCCTTGTTTTAATCTTTATCATCACCTTTTGGACTAATTTGAACTGGGAATGATGGAGTGACTCTCTAACAGAGGTTACATGTGCTGCTGAAGATTACAGACACAGATGAGAGGTTTTCACTGACTGTAGGCTATACTTTGTGTTGTTTTAAACCTTATTAAGGACGAAATGTCTGCTTTGTGTAGTTCTTCTGTAGTTGGTAACATATCGGAGACTGTAAGGGTCTGTATGTGTTCATATATGTTCATTTATTTATTTATTTATTTAATATAATTACAGACGTTACAGTAGGCTATTTCGCATCTTCATTGATCTGCAGTTATAATCAACTCATGTTCATGGAAAAGTTAGTAATAAACATTTATACACAAGTATTTACGTGTGTAAAGCATCTGTTTTGTGAGAAGTGCTTTTCATATGATATGTGAACGACCTGTGCAGCTTTACTGTAGACGATTTCTCGAGCGAAAATGATGTCGACTGAAACTTTGTCATACACCACGCTCACCAAAAGGGTACCCTTGGTAGTGGAAACGCAAGCCCGATAAAGATGACCCGTACTGACCCGAACCGTACCGTACTGTACCAGTCAGTGGAAACGAGCCATAACTGTCATGCTAATGCCTGCTTACATATTAATCATTAAAGTCACCAAACTGGTTTGCAAGAAGATACAAGAGTGACCAGAAGGTTCTTCAGAGGCTTCACAAGAATGCTTCAATAGACTGGGATATGTTTAAACAGGCTGCCACTCACAACAATAGCTCTGACCTTCAGGTGTATGCTGAGACTGTTACAGCCTGTTACATGCACTGAGGATGTAACATTCACCAAAACCATTACAGTCCATGCCAATCAGAAGCCATGGCTGACAGGAGAGGTCTTCAGCCTCTTGAGGCGAGCCTATAGACAGCTAGAGCCAACCTTTCCCGTGGTATCAGAGAGGCTAAGAGACAGTACTCCAGAGGAATAGCCCATCACTTTAATGACAGCAGAGACACACGGAGACTTGGAAAGAAATACAGACCATGACAGACTACAAACCTCAACCACAGACTTCTGACAGCACCATCTCCCTGCTAAACGAGCTAAACACATTCTTCGCTTGTTTTTAGGGACAAAGCAGCCCCACTGTACAGAAGATGCCACCTCTACCTGGTGACCAGGTTATGTATCTGTCTCCGGACAGTGTCAGGAGGTCCCTCATAAGGATCAACACACACAAAGCTCCGGGCCCTGACAACATCCCAGGTCGTGTACTGAGACACTGTGCATTAGAAGTCACTAATGTCTTCACAGACATTTTGAACATCTCTCCAATCAAGGCAGTCGTCCCCACCTATTTTAAAGCCACCACCATCAGTTTGGTCCCAAAAAAGTAATCTCCTTTCTACTTTAATGACTACCGTCTGATTGCACCGACTCTAATCATCATAAAGTGCTTTGAAAGGCTTGTCATGCAGCACATTAAGGCCCCATTTACACTAGTGCGTTTTAGTTTTAAAACGGTGTTTTAGAATGAAAACGATCCGCGTCCACACTCGCGTTTTACCCAGCGTTTCTGAACTGCTCTCCGTCCACACCAAAACGCTGAAAACGCACATTATGTGACCACACAGACACTCTCTGGCAAGCGCTGCAGCTCATCTACCCAGATGAGAGCTCTGCTTGTCGGACTTCTCATCAAGCATCTACCGCTGGATCTAATATCTCACTATATTTATTAAACAGGATATTTCATTCATCTTGTTGTCTTTATCTAACAACATATTCCCTGACTTTGGTCATTAGAATCTTACTTTTTCTCAGGTAACGTGTTTTGGCTGAGCGCAAAGATAAGTTAATGATTGATGAAACCACGTAGCCTATTATGTACAGATGTTACTACTTCAATGTGTTCCTTGTGCCGCCATTCATGCCGCGGCGACGGCGGTACTTGATGCGCCAGCAGCATTTGACCGCTGGGTGGCACTTTAACCACAGATATTCAGCTTTGCCTTTTCACAATGCTAAACAGACTGTTCTGTAGGCGTAGCTTACTGTATGTGATGTGATGTGTTCAATTAAAATATAATTTTAATTTAGTTTTTTTGGTAATAGACATGCTCTTACACTATACTATGCTGTAGAAAAGATACATGGTGAGAAGTCAAAAAGCAAATATAAGAATTAAGTTATTAGCCTTCAGTGCCCGATTAAAATGCGTTGGGGTGAAAATAATGTTTTGATTTCTTTGACTATCATGGCAATGTTATAATCTCAAATCTTAAACGTGCGCATATGAAAAACAGCAAAATAATATAGATTATCCTGCCGGTAGAGCACATCACCTCACAGTTGTGAACTTGCGATCACCTCAACTTACATTTAATTTTTTTTTACCTGGTTTATTGTAAACTTATTAAGTGCAAAGAGGATTCGTTTTGGAAAATAGAATTGAAGAAATGAAAGACAACTAAAATGAAAGCACAAACATTCAGTACAAATAATTAAATAAATAAATAAATAAATAAAGCAGTCTTTTAGTCTAAATATAGAGAGATGTAGTGTTGGCTATTTTGATAGAACTAAGACTAGACATGTTCATTTATATTTTTAATTTACGTTTTTATTTACATTTTCGTTGTTGATTATATTTACGATCTCATTTTATGTTTCAATTATAGTACATAATAATAAACGAATAATGAAAATAAATGAATAATGAAAATATTACATAAATTAAGTCTGGCAGGTTTATTTTTAATAATTTAGTTTCAGTTCCGTTTTTTTGTTTCAAAACATCAATGTTCTGCTTTAAAGTATAACTGTTGTTTTGTTTTGTTTTTTTACTTAATGGCTCAGTATGTTTTGTATTTTAATTTCATATTCAGTCACCTTGCATATGCGTGTGAAATATAATGTCGCATAACCGCGGAAAAAGAAGAAAAGGCTGTCAGTTAAAGCTAATTAATCAAAATTGGCTATATTAAAATACAGCATTTATGTTAATACAGGCAGAGTGTGAACAAACGGCTAAGATATGTGCTTGCCTTTTAATGCATTTAAAAATATTTGCGGCCTTTTTATAGGCTACAGGCAACTGGTGTATAATAATGTTTTTTTTTTTTTTTGTATGGTAAAGGACAATGCACATTATGTTATTGATGTAAACTTAGGCTAAAACTTACCATTGATAAACGTGACCTACCTCAAGCAGATCACTTAAAGTGTAATAAAAATAATGTTGCCGCAGGACATAAATGAAGTCCCGCAAGTTTATTTTTAATAATTTAGTTTCAGAACTATTAATTTTTTTCTCAAAACGTCAATAGCACCTTCAATAATTTAAACATTAAAGATGGACCGCAAGATGTGTTGAGTGGCTATGTGGTGAAGAAAAATAGCAAAGCTAAGTGTGATTATTGTAATAAACTAATAAGTTATAAAGCAGAGTCCCGACCAACAGGACTAAGCATATGCGGTTGGCTCATTCTTCACGAATATAGAATTAAAATTATGGCGCGTTAGGTTCATTGTGCATCCCGCAGGTGCAACCAACAAGGGTTGTGCATTTGAGTTTAACTTTTTGAGCGTTATAAGCAACTCGTTGTTAGTTTTTATTTAAATATATTGAGCCGAAACTAAGCAGCGCATTCTCTCCGCCTCCTCGTTTATAACCAGCTGGACACGCCACTGAAGCAGGAGAGACACTCTGTCGTTCATAATCTTAGCTGATGTGTCGGAGTCGAAAGAATATATCAAAGAGGAATGTTCTTTTGACAGTCCCGATATGTTCAATCTTTTTTTCCCTGTCATTTCTCTTCAGCAAATTATATTTTTAAAGCTGCTTGATTCTTTTAAAACCGAAAGCAGAGCCCGTCAATTGGTGTTTTTTCATAAGATACTCCTTTATGAATGTTTTATTTTATAAGTAGTCTTTAATGTGCTTTTTAATAATTTTATTTTATTCAAAGCAGCACCTAAAAGCGAATGTATCCTCAAAACGTGGCATGAGAGCGATGCATGTCATGTGTCGCATATTGCCTTTTTTCTGATCTTTTTGCATAAAGGTTTTAATC